ATATGTGGAAAAAAATTCCTGCCGAATTTTGTGAAAAAATTCCGGGGTCGATTCGTACGGAAATGACATTGTCTAGAAGGTGAAAAATTATCAATAAAGAGTTGGGAAAATGGAGAGATGCCTTGGCAAAAGCGATGCACAACTATAGAAGCTGGGAAAATCGTACTAACGAGGTAAGTATTTTGTAATTTTCGTTTTATTAAGTTTAATGTCCTAATATATATATTTTGTTAATATTTATTGCAGTTTAAATATTTTGTTAATATTTCTTGCATTTTAAATATTTTGTTAATATTTCTTGCATTTTAAATATTTTGTTAATATTTCTTGCATTTTCAATATGTTAATATTTCTTGCATTTCCAATTGTTTCTTAATATTTATTGCACTTCCAATTTATTTGTAAGGTTAATTGCATTTTCATTATTTTTTTTTTGTTACTTGCATATCCAATATATTTTAAATATTTCTTGCATTTCCATTTTTTTGTTAAATAGATTATTCAAGCACATATGTGGTTCGGTGCAACCGGGGGTGGCAAAAAAAGTTTCAACCACCATGAATGTTGGGAGGTGGTGAAATATTGCAAACGCTTCATAATTATTCCCACGGGTCCCGAGGTTATGTTAAACGAGACGTCACTCCGTGATTCAATGACATTGGATTCACCTATCGATTCTCCTATGAGTCAAGACTCACCCATCGAAAAGGAGCCAAGGCCTATTGGCCGAAAGGTTGCGAAGGCAAAGAAAGCAGGTAATTCGAGCAATAATAATTCAAAGTTTTTGGAGGAAATTGCAAGGCAGAACGCCATAAGAATTGAAATGGAGCAGAAACTCCAAGGTAACGAGATGAAGATTCAAGCCGAGTATGCACGAGAAAGGGAATATTTGCGCAAAAAATATGAGTATAAGACGGATCGGGAAACCATGACGATGGATACAAGCCACATGTCCCTTGAAACAAAACAATTTTGGAAGCTAGAACAAAGGGATGTTATGAGAAGAAGACTTTTCCAAGATGATGGGCCTAGCAACACGGATTGGTTAAATGATGAAAACCATTAAATTAGTTGGCATACCTTTTATGTATTTGTATTTTTCATGTTTTCTATTAGAAATTTGTATGAACCCAAAAATTTATCTGAATTTTGAATTTTGAAATTCATCCGAAATTTGAACACAAAAATCTTATTCGGAAATTTTATCCGATTATGAATAGTCTTGACACGTAGGAACCCGGAAATCTTATCCGAAAATATTATCCAAATTATTTATTGAGGTAAAAATATTTGTGAAAAAATAAAAATATGAATAGTAATTGCCCTTAGTCATGACAACGGGTTGAAACACAAAATACTATTTGCAAGGACAACTACTATTCACGTGAATAGTGACTGTCCTAGCTCCCTCCTTATCATGGCTAAGGGCAAATGGGTGGAGTTGCTCTAAGCTTGTTGGGAGGCAACATGCACATGGGTAGCTACCAAGCATTTAATGGACAGTGTCAGTAATGCTTCTTGTTATTTCAGCCTCTCATTGTGTGGTTGCCGACGGATTCAACTGGCACCAAGTCGTCATTGTATTCATCAAATCTTGTCAACGACTGTGGATTGATTATTTTCAAATGCATGAAAATATACAAGCCATATTTTCATCATGTAGGTCCCTATTCCGTATGAATTGGGCAGGTTATTTGCCGTAATTGAAACAACCACTCTGGCTACAAATATCATCTTAGAAAATATGCATCTTGCACTACTTTATGCTTAGAGCCCTCAAAACCTCACTTACAGCTAGTGAAAAAGAAGAAAGATGACTTCATGTTCGCAAACTGTGGCCGGCATTCCAGTGGTAGATTTTTCAAACGCGGACTGCTTGAAGCCGGGGACAAGCTCTTGGCTCTCAGCACGGAAAGACGTTTGCCGGGCACTCGAAGAGCTAGGCTGTTTCATGGCAATCCTACCCAGCAAAGTTCCTCCGGAACTTCAAAAAACCTTCTTTGATGCATTTGACGAGTTGTTTAATTTCCCCGTCGATACTCCTGAGAAGCCTTTCCGTGCTGGCTACATAACTTCAAGTTCTAGGCAGAAAGGCCTTGGAATTGTTAATGGCACAAACCCTAAAGAAACTCAGGAATTCACACATCATTTTTGGCCAGATGGAAACGACCAATTTCGGTATAATTTATTCTACCTGTATTTTTGCCTTTCCATTTACAGCTATATAGCTAATTGGCTTGTTTACAATATTAATTAATTTGTTCTTTGTTATTGGACAGTGAGAGTGCGGACTTGTATGCAAGAGTGATGGCAGAAATAGATCATGCTGTGACAAGAATGGTATTTGAGAACTATGGTGTAGAGAAGTACCATGACGATCATTTTCAGTCGACTTCGCACACTCTCCGATTTTTAACATACAAAGAACCCAAGAAATTTGAAGTTGATGTGGGTTTACGCAGTCATACGGACAAGAACTTTTCCACCGTACTCCATCAAAATCATGTCAATGGTCTGGAGATCAATACAAAGAATGATGAGTGGGTAGTTTTTGATCCTCTGCCTTCATCCGTGATATTCATAGCAGGTGATGGATTTCAGGTATGCCACCAAATAGTTCATGCTTTATTTATATATGGGTTGTTCCAACGCAGGCCCTTACAACTAACTATATCATAGACACATACCCACGTTCTTTTAAATCTTTACTTAAAACCAAAATTTAAAATAAGTTGTCATGTAAAGATTTAAAAGTAGATGGGTATGTGTCTATGATATAGTAGCTGTAAGGGCTTTTGTTGGAACAACCCTAAAAAGAATTCATATTAAAAATCCAAATGCTTTCTGAAAAACATTTGGAAGTGATTATTCGGTAAAAAAAACGTTTTTATGATCCAAAAGTACTTTATAATCATAACTGATTTTGTTCGTCCAAAAACAGTTTTAGTCATGTCAGAAGCACTGCGAAATAGACTAAAACATGTATTTGCATGCTTTGATTTGCCTAGGTTTGGAGCAACGATCGAATTCGAGCATGTAGGCATAGAGTGATACTGAGAGAAAATGAGGCGAGATACTCGTCCGAACTACTTTCAGTTAATAAAGGGATGATACAAGTACCAGATGAGCTCGTGGACAAGGAGCACCCCTTGCGGTATAAGCCTTTGAATCATCTAGAATTTCTTAGAGCACATAAAGACGTCGGTGAAACTGAGTATGCTGCACAGGCATATTGTGCCATTTGATCGTTTTCTTTAGTCCACAGATCGCTCCAAGTTGTTGCCTGTTTGGTTTTATTCCTTTCTCTTCCACGTAGCTTCTTCTTTTCCCTTTTTTTTTCTTTAAAAAGAAAAACACATGATCTCTATCTATGGTTTTTTCTTTCTTTCTTAGCCAATAACAATTAAATAAGCGTTTGAAAAGTTACAAAGTAAGAATGGGTAACTCCATATCGATGTAATAGCATATTTCAAAATATAGCAATTTTAGTTTTAAATTTGGCTTTGAATATTGGACCGGTTTGAATTGGACTTTTCATACTGAACTACGCGTGCTTTGACTGACCAAGTTTTGGAATTTTATCATTTTTTTATTATTGAAAAAAAGAAAGCCAATGGGTTGCAACCATAGTGGTGGTGGCTTCCTCCTTCCCCCTATAACATTCTAGTTCGAACCCCAAGTTTGAACTCTGTTGAGACCCAAAAAATCTACAGTTGAGCCCATATAAATTCCTAGCCCAAAACGACACATTATACAGGAAAAAGGCCCAATTTGGAGCACACAAAGATCCGTCATGCACACTCCGCGTGCCATGCCAAATAAATAATCCATCATGCTATGAATCAAAATTAAGATTATAAAATGCATTAGCTCTACAAATCCATGCTAATTATCCCGTCAAGCATCATAATTAAAAAATATGTCATGCCAAGCAGGAAATCATTATGTCAAACCCAACTACGCTACAAGCTTAAGTGGGCCCAAACCACTCAAATGTCTGGGGCTTGCTTGAGTGGGTTGTGGTATGGATGGTAATAAGTTGTCATGAGGCTCATTGATGGGCCGAGAAATGGAAGTTCCGGGTTGTTTGGGAGCCTCGGAACTCAAGCCTATTTCTTAAGCCCAAACATATGGGTGAGCACAAGAGAGAAAATATCCCAACCAAAATGGTCCATTAACTTAACCCATATAGCCCAATACTTGATGAGATTAGCCTATTTGTTTGGTACGTAGACTTGCTATCTTAGAGGGCCCATAAAATTAGAAATGAGAAGCAGCAAAAAGCCTCCGCATTTGGCTGAGAGACAAAGCCACAAAAGAAGCTTGGAAGACCACGTGCACAGGGACCAAAAGATATTGGCCCCCAAGGAGCCACCCTTCGAACCAACATGTATACTAATTTCTTTCCTTCATCAGATCTGACCATGAAAGAGGGAAGGAAAGAGAGGAAAGGGGATGGCTGAGAATAGGGGTTCTTCACTTGTGCAGCTATGGGAAAAGAACCTTGAGCTCCCAAAATCCCTGATTTTATGCAAATAGGCAGAGTAAGTTTCACTAAGATGGAAAAGTCAAGGGAAGAGGAGAGAGAAAGGAAAATATTTGGCCAAATTGGATAGAAATCATTAGGGTTTCTTGGAAATGGATAGCTTCCAGCGGCTATAAATAAAGCCTCTCCTACCCAACAACCACCAACCACCAACCACAACCAGAGAGCAAGCTTCCTCTCTTACTTTCAAAACCAGCAATTTTCTTGCTTAATTCATCTCCTTCCTCCTTAGTTTTCTTTCTTGGCAGGCTGTTCTAACACTTGACAGAACCTTTATCAAGCTACCATAAAAGCACTCAAACCACCCTTTTCTCTCTTTCCCTCATTCTCAACCAAGCCTGTCTACAAAACCCTTTTCTCTCCTACCTTAATACCTCATATTTGATACTATTAAAAATGTTTTTCTCAATATCTGCAAAAGCTATCAAATATGATAGATTTTTAGTCTCAAGGCATGCAAAAGCAGCTAGAGGCCCTGGATCAATCGAGTAAGCACAAGCAACGAGATCTCGATACAAGTTATGCTCAAACTAAGAGTGTGATCTTTGGGAGCTCAAGCGATGAGCCCCAAGAAGTTGTGCATGAAAACCCAAGAGAAGAGATCCAGAGGACCAAACTAAAGGCTCCTATTGTGGAATCAGGAAGCACCACCATGATAATGTTTTTTTTAAAGTTAATGTAGTCCCATGTTTCCTCTTCTTCTTTTTTAATGTGAAATAAATATTTTTGTTAGTTTTGACTACAAAGAGGTGCCGAATGAGAAGAAAGTTAATATCGTGGCCATTAAATTGAGGAGGAATGCCTCTGCATGGTGGGAGCAACTAAAGACTCGGCGTGACAGTACCGGGAAATCCAAAATTAAAACCTGGGAGAAAATGAAGAAAGAGCTAAAGAGAATTTTTTTTCCAGAAAACTACATTCAAGCAAACTTCCTGAAACTTCATAATCTGCGATAGGTAAATCGGACTATTGAGGAATATACTGAAGAATTTGATCTCTTAACCATGAGGTGCAGACTCGTCGAAGAAGAAGAACACACAGTCGCACGTTATCTTGGAGGGATGCATAGAGAAATTCATGATGTGGTGGTTTTACAGCAATATTGGATTTATGATGATGTCTTCAAGTTAGCTATACAAGTAGAGAAATAGATGAAGACACGGTCAAGGCGTACTGGAATAGAGGGTTCTGAGCAAAAACATTCTTGGATGACTAAAGGCTCATCACATCCTAAGCCAGGGAAGCATGAAGCAACCAAGACCAATGCACCAGAGAACTTTACTGCCAGCAAACCGAAGGGGATTAAGTGTTTCAAATGTTCTGGCATAGGACATATTGCTTCTGAATGTCCTAACTGAAAAATTGTAAGTTTGGTTGAGGAATTGGGCAAAATCAGAGGTATGTCAAAAAAGATGCTGCCCATATTTGATGATTATGGGGACAATAAAGAAGAAGAGATCACATGGAGTGACCATGGAGAGTCCTTGGTGATTCAAAGGATTATGAAAGCTGCCAAGGTGGAGGAGAACCCGAATTGGCTTCAGAATAATATATTCCATACCAAGTGTATATCTCATGAAAAGGTATGTAGCGTTATTATTGATAGTGGCAGTTGTGAAAACATTGTTTCACAGGAGATGGTTAATAAATTGAATTTGAAGATTGAAAAGAAGCCGGTCCCTTACAAGTTGTCTTGGGTTAAAAAAAGGAATGAAGTCATGGTGAATCAACGCTGCCTAGTGACATTCTCCATCAAGCAAAAGTATTAGGACTCTCAATGGTGTGATGTAATTCCAATGGATGCGTGCCACATCCTATTGGGGAGACTGTGGCAATTTGATCATAAGGTCACACATGACGGATACAAAAATACATATACCTTCATCAAAGATGGTATGAAGGTTATTTTAGGCCCCTCCCAATCTGAATTTAATTCCAACTCCACGAAAATTGGTGTTGGAAGCTTTCTAACCAAAGGAAAATTCCTAAAAGAAGCAGAGGAAAGTTGCGATATGTACATGCTGATGGTGAAAGAGAAAAATCCAAATGTTCTTAATTTTCCTAAAGAATTAACACCTCTTTTGCAGGAATTTAACGATGTTATTCCTAAAGAATTGCCCGCTGGGTTACCTCCTATGTGTGCATTGCATAGATTTGATTCCAGGTTCAACTCTCCCAAATAAAGCTCATTATCGGATGAGCTCATTAGAGTACGTACGAGGAGCTGAATAGGCAAGTGACAGAATTGTTAAAGAAATGGGTGATCCAAGAGAGCATGAGCTTGTGTGCTGTACCTGCATTGCTTGATCCAAAAAAAGATGGGACTTGGCGTATGTGCGTCGACAGTCGGGCAATAAATAAGATCACCATGAAGTACAGATTTCCAATTCCTCGTATATATGATATGTTGGATCACTTGTCGGGAGCAAAAATATTTTCTAAAATAAACTTAAGGAGTGGATACCACCAAATAGGAATAAGGCCCAGTGACAAATGGAAGACAACCTTGAAAACTCGAGATGGTTTATTTGAATGGTTGGTGATGCCCTTTGGATTGATAAATGCTCCTAGCACATATATGAAACTCATGAACTAGGTATTTCGTCCTTTTATTGGGAAGTTCGTAGTTGTTTACTTTAACGATATTTTGGTTTATAGTCATAATGTTGTTCAACACCTGGAGCACTTGAGACAAAATTTTGAAGTTTTACGGGAGCAGCGACTTTTTGCCAATTTGAAGAAGTGTGAATTTTTACAGGTAGTTTAATTTTTCTGAGGTATGTGATATCATCAGATGGTATTAAAATTGATATTAAAAAAATTGAAGCAATAAAAGGGTGGCCTATCCACAATCTATCCATGAGGTACGAAGTTTCCCTGGCTTAGCTTCATTCCATCGAAGATTTATTAGAAATTTCAGTTCTATTATGGCACCCTTGACTGATTGTATGAAGCATAATATTTTCAGATGGACTAAAACTGCAGAGAAGAGCTTTCAAGCAATAAAGAAAGCTATGACTGAAGCACCATTATTGATTCTACCTGATTACCAAAAGGTTTTTGAGGTAGATTGTGATGCATCCAAAGTTGGGATTGGAGCTGTTCTTAGCCAGGAGGGGAGACCAGTTGCCTTCTTTAGTGAAAAACTCAATGACACTATGCAACGCTACTCCACTTATGATATTGAGCTTTATGCAATTATGTGATCTCTTAGACAATGGAGGCAATATCTGATTTACAAGGAATTTATCTTTTACTCTGATCATGAAGCATTGAGATTTATCAAAGGGCAACACAACTGAATCGGAGACATGCTAGATGTGTGGAAGAATTACAGGAGTACAATTTTGTGATTAAACACAAGGCTGGAATCCACAATAAAGTAGCAGATGCTTTAAGTCGCAAGGTGGCCTTATTATTTGTCATGCAAGTTAGAGTGGAAGGCTTTGAGCAATTGCAGGAGTTATATAAAGGAGACAATGAATTTGATGAAATCTAGTCCGGATGTGCGCAAAATAATTTGGTACAAGATTACCATATTCAAGATGGATATTTGTTCAAGGGGAGCAAATTAGCATTCCTGATTGTTCTTTACGGTTATGGATAATTGAGGAGCAACATGGGGGAGGCCTTGGAGGACACTTTGGACGAGACAAAACAATTGATCTAGTTGAGAACAAATTTCACTGGCCAAAGTTGCGAAGAGACGTGGAGAGGTACGTACAAAGGTGCAGGACTTGCCACTTGGCCAAGAGGCGTAGTCAGAACACAGGGCTTTATACTCATTTGCCATAACTACAAGCACCGTGAGAAGACATTAGCATGGATTTCGTTGTTGGTCTTCCGAAGACAAAACAATGATTTGATTCAATCATGGTAGTTGTTGATCGCTTTTCAAAGTGGCCTATTTCGTTCCTTGTAAAACAACCATGGACTCTAGCAATATTGCTCATATTTATTTTTGGGAGATTGTCAAATTGCATGGGATTCCTACTACAATTACATCAGATAGAGACACCAAGTTTGTGGGACATTTTTGGAGGACTTTGTGGCATAAGATGGGGACTCGGCTCCAATTTAGCAGTGCACATCATCCCTGAACAGATGGTTAGACAGAGGTTGTCAATAGGACCCTTGGTAACTTATTGAGGTCTTTGGTTAGTAGCAATAAAACGGGCAAGAGTGATGTTTTACCACATGCAAAATTTGCCTATGACCAGTCAAAAAATAGAAGCATTGGAATGAGCCCATTTGAATCTGTTAATGGTCGCAACCCTTCTAGTCCAATTGATTTAATTCCTTTGCTCGTAGAGAATCGTTTTAGTGTGGGGATGCCAATGACTTGGTTGATCATATCAAGAAGGTCCATGAACGTGTTAGCCTTCGACTTAAAGAGAGCAACACAAAGTATAAAGAGAGTGCTGATAAACATAGGCGTTACAAGGAGTTACAAGAAGGGGATTTAGTGTGGATCAACTTAAGAAAGGAGAGATTTCCTCGTGCAAAATATGGTAAATTGCATGATAGAGGTGGTGGACCATACAAAATATTGAAAGGGTTGGTCAAAATGCTTATGTACTTGAGTTCCCGAATGACATTGGTGTCTCACTTACATTCAATGTCGCTGACTTGCAAGCTTACTATGGTGAGAATGGAACCCCAGATGTTGACTCGAGGTCGAGTCCTTTCCAACCCGAAGAGGCTGATGTAGGAGCATCCCAAGCCAAACTAGGGAAGCCCAAGAGATCAGTCAAGCCTCCTAATTACCTCAAAGATTATTGCCCAAAATAAATTAGGAGACCTTTCCTACTGCTGATTTACTTCCTTTTATATTTTCCTTCTGTTTTGGTTTTCCTGATTGTATTAGAATTATATTTCCTTATATTCCTAGGAGGTAGTTGTTATTTAAACCTTTTCTTGTAGACCAATTGGTCACATTGAATTTGAGAATTTATTCAGAAAACACAGCTAAGTTTAGAAGCAAATTGTGAGTGTTCATTCTATATTTCTAGTGTTGGTATAGTTTCGTTGGAGGTTTGTGTTTGAGATACCATCTCCGCAACACAATCTGTTGAAATTAATGCACACATGCGCTTTTAATAATATAGAATAATCTAGAAAAATTAAGAGAAATTGACAAGTTAAAGAAGGCTCTACACTAGAAACATCCTACTAATTATATAATTTATTGAAACTAGATGATTCTATTATTATAGGACAACAACTAGTGGCTAAAAACACTTTATAAAGTCGGTTACTGTGTAACAATCGACTTGACTAGTTATTTGCCAACTTAGAGAGTCGGTTTAACAACTCTATAAATATGCAAGCGGCCCACTTATGTAATCAAGCAAGAAAAGCTAAAAACTACCAGCTGCCCTGTATCCAACTAAGTCTCTAAAGCTTTGTAACTTTCCTCCTCCATTCAAATAAAATTGCCTTGTTACTCTTTCAAAAAGTTTCCTATTCCACATCAAGCTATTGTCCTAAACACTACCAACCACTCTCTAAACCTCTTGTCCCTTAAACTAACACAATCCTACCCAGCAAAGTTCCTCCGGGACTTCACAAAACCATCTTTGATGCATTTGACGAGTTTTTAATTTCCCCGTAGATACTCCTCAGAAACCTTTTCGTGCTGGTTATGTAACTTCCACTTCTGGGCAGAAAACCTTTGGAATTGTTAATGGCACAAACCCTCAAGAAACTCAAGACATTTTTGGCCAACTGAAAACGACCAATTTCGGTGTAAGTATTCTACATATATTTTTGCCTTTCCACTTCGATTTCGAACTATATAGCTTATTAGTTTGGTTACAAGAGTAATTAACTTGTTCTTTGTTGGACAGTGAGAGTGTTGATTTGTATGCAGAAGTGATGGCAGAGATAGATGAAGCTGTGACAAGAATGCTATTTGAAAGCTATGGTGTGGAGAAGTACCATGACAATCACTTCCGATTGACTTTTCACAATCTCCAGCTTATAAAATACAAAGTACCCGAGAAACTTGGAGGTGACGTGGGTTTATGCAGTCATACAGACAAGACCTTTTCCACCATCCTCCATCAGAATCATGTCAGTGGCCCGGAGATCAATACAAAGAATGATGAGTGGGTAGCTTTTGATCCTCTACCTTCCTCAGTGGTATCCATAGCAGGTGATGCATTTAAGGTATGCCACCAAATAGTACTTCTTCATGCTTTATTTACCATGTATTTTTAAGTCTTTACATTGCAACAAGTATGGGCACGATCCAAATTGAATCGATTTTTACCCAAAACAAACCAAACCAATTGTAATATAACAACTCGCTTCAATTCGGTTTTAACAAAAATCATTAAGGAAAACTGAACTAGAACAAACCCTTGTTGAATAGTTTGATTTATTAAAGCTCAAAATCAGAATTGAACGAAAGCATAACAGTTCGTTTGACTTTTTATATGATTAAAACTAAATCAAATCGGCTGCTACATTTTGGTTGGTTCGGCTATATCAATATAAGACAAGAAAAATGTTGAAAAGCCTCCATCTTGCGCACAGAGGGATTCGAACCCCCTCCCTTTCTCATCAAAGCCAGCGCCTTATCTAACTCAGCTGCGGCTGAGTTTGTGTTTATACCTTCAACTTGTAATATTTATAAGGTCTTTAAAAATGTCTGCAAGCTAATATTATCTAAGATAAATTTCCATATTAAAAAAATTCCCTAAGAATAAATTTAAGCATATATTTAATGTTATTTATTATTTTATAATGGAGTAGTATTTTGTTGTTGTTATATATTATGGAGTTTTATTATTATTCACTTCGAGTTTTAATATTGTTCATTATATGTGATACTAAGTTTGAATTTTAATAGGAATTATTTCTATGTGTTACTAAGTTACTCATACATTTTATCTTTGTTTTTTTAGTTAAGCTCATATATTTTATCATATGTATCAAGTGTAATATATTGAAGTACATCATTATAACTAAAAAATTATGGTGTGTTTAATTTTCTTTCATTAATTACTACATATTTTCTAAAGTCACAGTGTTTGTCAGGTCGCTACATAATCAACTTAACTCACTCAAACCCACCATGCCATGCATTTCCTTCCAATTTTTTGTGATAAAATAATAGACAATTGACTAAGTAAACATCCTCTAAAGTTTCAATAAAAATTTCCAAGATTTTCTCATAATTTCCGTTATTTTTATTCAATTTTTATTGATATCGATATTTCCTCAATATTTCCATCGATATATCTGTGTTTTTGGACCACCGATGTTTCCGAAACTCCCGATATTTTAGACCTTGGTTCGGCTAGCCTTAGACACAGAGTCACATTTTGGAGCAACGATCGAATCCGACCATGTAGACACAAAGTCACATTGAGGAAAAATAAGGTAAGATACTCTTTCAGAGTCTTTTCGCTATACAAAGAGGTGATACGAGTACCAGATGAGCTGGTCGCCAAGGACCACCCTTTACTCTACAAGCCTCTCAGTCATTTGGAATTTCTTAATACACGTAAAAGTGCGGGTGAAACTAAGTATGCCTGCAAGGCATATTGTGCCATTTGATCAATTTTCTTAGGTCCACGGCTCACTCCAAGTCCAAGCTCTTGCGTATTTGGTTCTCTTCTTTTTCTTTCATGTAATTTCTTCTTTTTATTTTTTATTTTTGAAAGAAAATGATGTTTATGGCTTTTCTTGAATACATGTTTAGGTCTTGTTTGGTATCTTACTCAAAAAAAGATTAAAAAATTATGATTCTTTTTAAAACATGAGTTTTCAAATAATGATTTTAAGATCTTAAAAAATTGAAATTAAAATCAGAAACCCTAAATTCCCAAATTAAAATAAACATAGGAAAAGGAGAGAGAGAGAGAGAGAGAGAGAGAGAGAGAGAGAGAGAGAGAGAAATTATTAAACCTCTATTATAAAAGTAATGCTTATTTACTGTAGCACACCCTGAAAATTTGGTCAAATCTCACTTTACCCCCCGGAAGTTAAAATGACCCACTTAAACCCCTCGACCAAGGTTTTGTGTTCCACTTTGCCCCATACCGTTATCTCCATTCATAACTCTATCAATATTGATGACGTGGCAGAGCTATTTTAGTTTTTTTTTGGGAGCTTTAGTAATATACCCAAAATAGGGACTGTAATTATTAAAAAAACCCTACATAGAATGCACTTTAGAAACACATCCAAAAACCATTTATTACATATGAAATTAGTGTTGAAGTTCCTATAAATTACATCTCTGCTATTAATTAACTTAAAATAAGCCCAACACAATTCCCAAAAGAACCCAAAACTAGCCCAGCAAGCCCATATTAGATTTTTTTGAAAAAAACCCAAACTTAAAATAAAATAAATAAAAAAAATCACAAAAACCAAGGGTCTATCCCCACGACCCTTCATTCTCCATCAAATATCATATAAGTACATTGTTAATACCATGTCATAAAAATACATTGTTAAGTCATAAAAGTGCATTGTTAATACTATGCTATATAAGTATATTGTTAATACAATTTCATAGAAAAACATTCTTAATACAATTTCATAGAAAAACATTGTAAATACTATTTCATACAAAAAAACCTTAACAAGAGATTCGATATCCTTTGTTACCACCTTCAATTGTCCATAGTTTCACCAGATACAATCGCGCAAAGACAAAAGTAATATTCTTTACCTAAATAAAAAAAAAAAAAAAAAAAAAAAAAAAAAAAAAAAAATAAAGTTAATGTCTATGTCACAGAAGTACATTGTTAATACTATGTCAAAGAACTATTTTCCTAATAAAAATCACATTTTACATATCATAAACTTCAAATGCACAGCCATATCTAGAGCAAAATATAGAGCGTGCTTTGTTATTGAAAATATGTTAATACTATGTCATAAAAGTACACTGTTAATACTATGTTATATAAATCAACTCAGTTGCAGGGTATGAAAAGAAAAACAGTTATTCATACCACTTACTGGAAGTTAACAACTGCTCATACGACTTACAAATAACAAATTGTATACTACAAATCAACTTACCAGCTTGTTGAAATTTACAAAAGTCATATATTAGACCCACAACCACCCAAAAAGCCAAAATTGGCTTGTTGCAAACCCCAAAAGGTGCCGCCACTAACATTGGTTCCACTTACTCGCTCAAACTTACCAGGTCCATCTACCTATATAAGCATAACACAGATGATACTATCAAGCCTTTAAAAGTTAAATATATGAAGCTAATGTAGTAACTAAAGTATCTGATTTTTACTATGAGAATACCTTGATCATATTGACACCAGAACCAATATTAACAAGCATATAGGGATATAGATCATCACGGTCAATCTGCACAAATTCCTTATGACCATCCATGTATGTGAATGCTTCGGTGTGAACTGCCTACTTAAATAACAATCAAAATGTGAATGTTATTGTCAGGCAAGGAACTCATAATGCAAAAAAGATTGTTAGTGATATTGTCACCAGTTCTGTAACTGAAACAGTGCAAAGGGATTTTTATTTTTTTTACTCTTTTAATGGATCTATATTCCACATAAGCCATATATTTCAGTATCCTAAAGAATCATAAATATCTCTACAGAAGTAGCTGAATTTTGCAAGTTTCACATTTTATGACTCATCCATATTTCTTTTCCTTCTAAAACCAACAACAACAAAAAAAAAGTTACTTCCTCTCATCTTATGCACGCTATTGCCAATCCCAACCCACACATCCTATACAACACATGACAGGACTTAAGAAAGGCATCAACTTGTACATACCAATCTATGTATGTGGTATTAGGATCCCACCTTAAGCATAAAATTTGATCCAGCCACAAGACAGTCCATTTCATCTTCCTTGTCAAGACAAATCCCAAGCTTTTCCTTAAAGAGATCCGCATACTTGTATGACCAAAGCAAATATGCCTATCACGACTAAAGAACAAATCAATTAGTTTCCCTCCATATTGAAACGATCATAAACCACAACATAAAAGTTAACATGTTCAAATCTCTAACCTAAGCCATACAAACTAAGTCATTGAATTTAAAATGTTCACAAGCCAAACGCAAACAGAAAACACAACAATTCATATAATAAAACTAGAAAATACTGAAATGAGCAATCAACATAAGAATAAACGGTGAAAATACATACATCAGAGGCGTCACTGATGAACTCACAGAGAAAGATCTCTTTGCTGCTGTAAAAGGTGTTGATGATCAAACTCAGAAGCTGGTTGCTCTCATGGATCAGGACCTGAGTCCACCTTCTGAGTTGTAAAACGACTTTGCCTAGTTCAGCATATCCCGCTCTGCAAAGAAGAGCTTCTTTAATGGATGTCGTAGAGAGGAGGAGGAAGAGGCAACCCCTTTGGCTATGGAAAAATCATCGTTGTCGGCATCTGCGAACAAGAGATCCGGGTTGAAAATCGGGAACACAGGACGAATCTGGCCATTTTGGAATATATCGTCAGTGGAAATTGGCGATCTGTCGGGGTTGGTGCATGCGAAAGAGAAATCAAGTAGAAATTCAAGTAAATTATGCAAAAATCAAAAGGAAAATAACGAATTGAAGCAGATGGAACAAACCTGCAAAGGAAATGGAGGCATCGGCGGCGAGAACACGTGTGAGGCCACCTACGTAACGGAGATTGTCGTCGGTCTTGTGTTGGTCCATGGCTTTGAGATTGTTTGGTTTACTTTGAAGGCATAGAGAGGGAAGAAGGGAGAGAACAGAGGAGAGATAGTGGTTTGAAGCAGGATAGGAGCTTGAGGATTCAAACCTAAGGGAGGGCTTGAGGCTTCAAACCTGAGGTTGTCGAACCTAAGAGAGGCTTCAAACGAGATCCAAAACTAACTTAATGCTAAAAAGGGTAATAAAGATATTTCATCTTATTAACTAAATTAAAAAAATATACAATTGTTGATTTTTGGGTTTATTTTGGGTGTGTTTCTTTGTTTTAAACAGTGTATAGTATATTTATAGTTTCATGTCTAGGAATGGGTGTTTCACTAATTTTGTATTTTTTTTCCAACAAGTGATGATGTGTCATGTGCAGACTCCACTTCTTTTTTTGTGCTTAAAATGGACTAAAATAATAATAATAATAATAATAAAATTAATTACTTACTTATTTAATTAAAAAATTGAAAAATTAATATAAATAACTTATTTTCTTCTTCATCTCTCTCTTTTCCCCAGCAACCATCGCACACAAACCCCTCCTACTCCCCATTGCCATCTCCTATATCCCTCCACCATATAAACCACCATACCAACATATCCAAATATCAAAACCTACCATCTAAATCACCATACCCATTATAGGTGGTTCATTGCTAAACGAAGGTATTTAAGATTAGGAAAGTTTTATGGCAGTGGTTCTTGGAAATGGTTAATGGAGAAATTGAAATATTCAAGTTGGCCTAGATTGGTATTTGGCCAGCAAATAAATTTCAAGAAAAGCCAGGAACATCAAGTTCCCACATTCATATATTAATTTTCACCATACCCAGACCCGTCGTTGATGGAGGCCATGTTTTTAGGAGTGGACTAAAGGTTTGAGTTGATGGGGTGTGCTGGGAAAGAAGGGGTAGGTTTAGAATAAGGGCTAGGGAAGGAGAGGTCATGGTAGGGTAGGTGACTGTGGATGTCGGGGCTAGGCTTGGGAGAAGAGGAAGGAACAGTGAGAGAGGTGGGGGTGTCTTGAGAACTTGTGTGGTGGGAGAGTAGTAAGGGTTGGTTGCTGAGTGGGTGATGTTTGGTAGGGTTGGAGTGGTGGTGGTGAGGGTGGCTTTGGGTTGAGTGGTCGTTGTAGTCTGATAGTGTGAAGTTAGGGGAAGGGGAGGGGACGACAGAGAGAGAGATGGAGAAGAAGAGATTTTTTTAATATTAATTTTGTTCCATTTTTTATTTTTATTTTTATTTTTAATATTAACAAGTAATTACATTATTTAATTATTTTTATTAATATTTTAGTCTACTTAAGCATAAAAAGTGGGGCCTATATCTGACACATCATCACTTATGATAAAAAGACTAAACTAGTCATGCCACGTCATCAAAATTGATGGAGTTATTAATAGAGATAATGGTAGGAGTAAACTAGAACACCAAACCTTGGTCAATGAGGTTAAGTGGGTCATTTTAACTTTCGGAGGATAAAGTGAGATTTGGCCAAAGTTTCAGGCGGTACTACAGTAAATAAGCTTAAAAGTAATAATCAGAGTATGAAAGTACCACTGAATATTGAGAGTAGAATCGTATTTGCTCTTGTGGTTTTTATACTGACAGAACTTTCTCCCTCTAATAAAACTCTTCTAAGATATAGCTCTCACACTCTCAAATTTCTCTCTCTATTTTCTCTTTGGATTGGTGTATTTTACAACTAAATGAGCAAGTCTATTTATAGGCAAATTGGATGGTTTCCCATGGACTTCATTACCCAACATCATCATTCAGCTTTTGACTATTATTTTCTTCTTTTCTTTATGTGGATTCCAGCACTTTCTTTACAACACTCCTCCTTGGAGACCACATGTCCCTAGATTGGTTGCCTCATTAAAACCTTGCTTGGAAAAACTCAGTGGAAAAAACCTAAGCGAAGGAAAAAGAGTACAACTTTATTTGGGACATAAGAATAATGTTAAATGCACTCATGTTGCCTTGTTAACTTTGCAAGGAAAACCCAGTGGGAAAAACCCTAGGGACATGTAGTTTCTAAGGGGGAGTGTTGTAAAGAAAGTAATGGAGCCCACATAAAAAAAAGAATAAAATAATAGTTAAAAACTTAATGATGATATTAGGTAATGAAGTCCACAGGAAGCCATCCAATTTGCCTATAAATAGGCTTACTCATTCAGTTGTAGAACACATCGATCCAAAGAGAAAAATAGAGAAAGAAATTTGAAAGTGTGAGAGCTATGTCTTAGAAGAGTTTTATCAGAAGTACTCACAATATTCAATGGTACTTTTCATACTCTAACTATTACTTTTATAACCTCACTTTTTTTGTTTTTAATAATGGAGATGTTTTTGAGTTTTTCCTGTGTTTGAGTTTTTAAAAATAGCAATGGGTTTTTATGGATTTGGACTTAAAAAATGTCTTTGAGTTTATAAAATTGGATACCAAACATACCATTAGTGTTTATATGTTTTCTTTCTCATACCAAATTAAATGCTAATTAAAGCTACAAAACACGATGCCAAAGCAAGTCATCAAAAACCACACATTAAAAACTAAATATCCATATATAAAATAAGAACCAATTTTCCAAATTCTTCTCCATGGAATACACCATTGGATGTGCTCTTAGGCCATCTTCAACCCATGAGGCCAAACCCAAAATATCTCAAATTCTCTCACAACCCAAGAAAATAAAGAGGTCAAAATTTGAAAAAACCCAAACTTATGGCCAAATAGCAATCCAACTATTGTCTGAACTAAAAAAAAATCAATGGAGCCCACTTGCTGTTGACATAGGCATGTGCAAGGGAATTAAAATGAGGCTCGCACTGCAGTGGTTGTTGGCTACCTGATACAAGTAGCATGTCAAGTGTCGCCTTATAGTGATATTACATTGGAATCTAACATCTTAAATTTAATCTAAGTCATTGATTTATGTTACTAAATAAAATAAAATAAAAAATAAAATGAAGTTTGAATTGTTGTCGTCGGATTCCAATAGCAACATCACTACAATGCAACACTTGGCACGCTATATGCGTTAAGCAGCCAACAACCACTGTAGTACAAGCCACATTTTAATTTCATTGCACACGCCTACATCAGCAGCAAATGGACTCCATTGAAATTTTTTTTAAGTCCATACAATAGCAGGACTACTTTTTGACCCAAAGTTTGAATTATCCCCAATTTTAGCCCCTTTATTTTCTTGGATTAGTAGAGAATTTGTACTATAATTTGGCATACTTTGGGTTTGGCATCATGAGGGGCCTTCTCCAACCAATGGGGGGCCAAACCCAAATTTTTCCCCGACAAAAAGTAACTATTTGAGTTTTGCCCGAACTCAAATAATTTTTTTTCCCACCCCTCAAATTTTAAGCCCACAACTTTATTAAATTGTTTAAGAATGATTTAAGTCTAATTTTTTTTATTATTTTATGAATAACTTTTCTTTTCATTCAATCTTTTAAAATAACTTCATAATTAATAATTTTAAAAAATTTGACCTAAAAATTAAAATTCCACAAATATAATTTTATTTCAAAAGAAAAAACACAACATTATATTATTTAATAAATGAATGGATATTTATAGAGTTTGGAGTGAGTTATGGGATTGGATTTGATATAGAATAATTTAAAATATTATGTTGACCGTTGGATTTAAATTTTAACAATTGGATCTTTTTTTTTACCATTAAAGTAACTTAGATTTAATGTAGATCGTTGGTTTAAGTTATATGTATATACCAACAACCAAAAAAACAGCAACTTCTTCAAATGTTTGCCGTCAGATTCCAACGGCAACTACACAATTGAGCGACACGTTGCGAGGGAAAAGAAGACAAAATCAACAACAAATCTAGCGTTGGGGCCCACGTCAGAATCTCTGCACATGTGGTCTATTTTAGATGTGAAGGGGCTCCACGAAAAGTTTTGAATCTAGACAATAGTTGGACTGGTATTTGGGCTCAAAACCTCCCCCAACTCAAAAAATGAAGAGGCCAAAATTTGGGAAAACCCAAATATCAATCCACTTATTGTCTGGACTCAAAACTTTTTGTGAAGACCACCTACATTTGAAAACATACCACATGTGAGAAAAACTGACGTGAGCTCTAGAGCCATAATTGATGCTGCTTTTGTCTCCTACTAGGCCACGTGTCACGCTCCTATATAGTTGCCGTTGGAATCCAACAACAACATTTGAATAAATTGCTACCCTTTTTTTTTATAAACTTCCAACAGCAACATTTGAATATATATATATATATATTCTAACGGCTAAAATTTAAATTCAACGACCAAAATAATATTTTAAATTAATCCAAATCAAATCTAATCCCAAAACTCACTCCAAACTATATAACTCACCCATTTCTCAACCATTCTTAAATATTTTAATAAAGTTGAAAACTTAAAATTTGAATCCGGAGAGTTGGAAGAAAAGACATTTTAATAAAGTTGCAAACCTAGTGATTCCTCCACGTAATCTAGTATATCTCCGATTTGTTGTTTACTATATAGTAGAATGCAATTATGAATTTCTTTTAGGAAAATAGCCTAAAATGCCACCCCTTCCTAATTTTTGTACAACTACTACCTATAAATATAAAATTATTGTCCACTTATTGTATTCATATCAGTTTTTCAGAAATTGGCTCTCTCTCTAACTCTCTACGCTCTTATCTCTTCGGCCCGTCTCTCTACCTCGTGTACCTCTCTTTAATGCAATCGTCTTTCTCCTTTAACAGTGACTGTTCATCCAAGCGTGACTCCATTGTTGACATCCACGAGATACTATTCATAAACCTTTTCTTTGAAATTTGGGGTTTTTGCGAATTTAGTTAATAGTGTATTGATTTGTAAGAAACTAGTTTAGGGTTTTAGTGTTTAGGAGTTGCTTAGAAATTGGGTTTGGGTTTATGGGTTTCTATGAACTAGGTAATAACTCACATCCACTCTCACTCGCTCACAGGTACTGTTCACAGAAGGAGGTGAAGAAGAAGGAGAGTATAAAAGGGTTCAAGACGATTAGTAGGATTGAGAAGTGTAGTTGCAGAGCAAAAGATTTGTTTGAGATTTTGATGGATGAGAATAGATGGATGGTTTTTAGTCAGAGCAATGCCAAGATAAGCAAGGAGGATGGTGGGCAGATTAGCATTTCTAATGGGTCGATGACGGGTACCAATTTGGAGTTGCAGAATGGGAGTTCGATTGTGCATAAATGGAGATTTGGGAGTTAGCCTAATGGCATTGATTCAACGATATGTCAAGTGTTTTTCTTTCTAGTTGGAATGAATTCTTGGTCCGTTTTAAATGGTTTTGTGATCTGTGGGTTGAGTGTGTTTTGTTTGAATTTTTTCAAGTGAGGCTTACACTTGAAGAGCCTAAACCCAAGCTCACTGTTATGAACAATACCTCATGGATGTCAACGATGGAGTCACGCTTAGATGAACAACCACCGTTGAAGGAGAAAGACAATTGCGTCAAAGAGAGAGAGGTACACGAGGGAGAGAGACAAGCCAAAGAGATAGAGCGAAGAGAGTTAGAGAGAAGTCAATTTCAGAAAAACTAATATGAGTACGATAAGTTAACAATAATTTTATATTTATACGTAGTAGTTGTACAAAAATTAGAAGGAGGTGGTATTTTTAGTTAAAATTATGAAATTAGTGGCATTTTAGGCTATTTCCCTTTCTTTTACCTGACCAATGTTGATTTAAAAAGACAACTAGATTTGCTCACCCAATAAAAAGACAGACTTCTCTACAAGACCATTCCCAATCCCCAAAAAATTGAGCCACAACCCCTCATCTCTGCAACCCCTAAAAATAATATATAAATGCCTTAATAATGGATTGTGTAACCTACACACAAAACACTAGAGCCCAAAATCAGGCCGCAGAACAGCCCAAAAGTGCTATTCTGTTGTGTGGATCTAAATTTTGTGAAGTTATTCGTATACATGGGGTGGCAAAGTTTCATTATTATCTTCCAATTTACATGTTCAAGACTAATTTCTAGTTCAAATGAGAATAAGACACTCTTCATTGTAAGGGTGTTCAGATCATTTGACCTTAAAATAAAGATGAAAGTCCTCTTTATTAATTTTAAAACCAAGTGAATTCCAAAATATCAGACTAATTAGCAATGTAACTTGGCTTAACAAAGAGATGGGACAAAACATGTCTTGCTTCCAACCTCAACAATTTAGAGAGACAACAATTTGTTGTGGCAAGACAAATCTGAGATGCCTTCAATCTAGCAAGACAACCAAAATTACCTTAGCACACCACCATTGTCACATTCCAAGCAGTGAGATTAAAAGCAAGGCAATGTCTCACCTCTTATTGGCAAGTATACACTGTTAAATAGTGAGGTAATTTGGGTCACTCAATTTTTATAATATTAGCATCTCTTTACAGGCAAAAACAAATAATAAAATTCTTTTTAAAAGAAGAAAAAAAATAATAGAAAGAACAAGGGCATCAGTTCTCCAAGGTGATAGATAAAACATCAATGAATGTTTCAGATGCAAATTACCCATTAATATCAATGAGGATCATCAACTGCCCAAATAAATAAAAGCATAAAATAATCCAGAATTATCAAGAATTTAGCACACGATCCAATTCAAAACAGTGTGTGCGAGAGTGAATGAAATTAGAAGTGAGAAAGCGATCAGAACCTGTCGGGATTCACAGTAACATCACACTGTTACAGTCAGTGGATTGACAGACATGAATTTCTATCGTCACCTCGCTTTCTTCTATTCACAACAATTTTTTTGGCTAAAACATGAAGATTACAACAAAAAAGAGGGAAAAAAGAAAGGGCTGGGAGAAGGAGACAGCTCAGAACTTCTTAGAGGGTTGTGACCGTCATAGAAGGTGCTCAAGAGCTCCGACTCTGGACACAAAGAGTTTCATCAAAGCTATCAATTATAGTGAATTTTGATACAAAACACGGAAAGGCTCATAAGGGAGGGAGTGGAGGCTTCTTCTGTAGCAAGAGGCGAGAAAGGGTGTTGGAGGTGAGAGGAGGTGGATGCAGAAGAGGCAATTTATAGGCACCACGAGAGAAACCCTAGTTTCTTATTGAATATGGGCTGAAACGTCGGCTGGACTGTATAGGGTAATGTTTTGTATGGGCTTTGAAAACGGGCTGCTGCATCACGAATATTTATGATATTTTGGAGCAATAATTGCTGAATTTGTGTCCTATTTTGGTCATTAAAATGACAAAAAGGGTTATTGTAGTTCCTCACCTTTTACCTATTTTTTTGTTTTTTTAGCAATGTTTGCCCTAATGCTAGTTCTCCGGGACTATTACTCCTCTTATTATTATTTTTAGGGTTTTTTTTTCCACAAATTGTGCCTCATGTTTTCAAATACTTAATTGAAAAATACTTATCTCCTTCTCCAATAATTATAGACTCTTAAATTATTGTTAATAATAGTTTGACACACACACATATATATATATATATAAGTTTTTCTTTTTTGCGTATTTGATAAATTATTTTTTCACCAGTGTTTGGAATTCAATGCTTGTAAAAAGAATAATTTAAAAATTTTGAGAGCCCTCTGCAAAATTTAAACTGGAACCCCAAATAATTTAACTCGAAAAAAAAAAATATATATATATAAATGCAATGACCCAATGCCCTAAAAACAATTTTTTATATTACTTAGATTCATCATCAATTAACATGTAAAACTAATATCCACAAAAATCTTTCAAGAAAATATGTCAAGTATAATTGTATGTTATGGTAATACTGTCTAGTTGGTCATGGATTCAGTGTTCATTGAGGTTACTTTATGGTGAAATTTTTGTTATTTCGACAAAAGAAGTGAAAAAGAAATCACTAAGACCGCAATTGTGTAAATATGTTGTGCGCTCACGTATATATACAATGTATTTATGTATGGGGGCGGATCCATGACACCATATTTTTTACACAAGTTTTGACACAATTTTATAGCCTTTAGATGCAAGCACTTTCAAGGGCTAAGATTAAATGTGATTTTATTATTTATTTATTTTATTTCGATAACATAACAAATAAATAAATATTAAACTCACCACTTTTCAAGGTAGCATAAATGTAGGCTAAAATCTCTCCATCTCCTCCAATCTCATTTATTCTCACGTTTTTGAGTTTGAACTTTTCTTTTTTATTCAATTTTTTTCCTTTATCTGGAAACAAAGTTATGAGTTGATCTCCAAACACGCAAGGATCTATTCCAGATTTTTCCACTCCAACACTTCATGCAATTTTCGCTAAATATTCTGGAGATTGTTTGAAAATCTTAATTGTTAATTGTGCTAAGAAGCTATGGATACTTTTTTCTGTAGTTAGATGCTAAACTGTTTGAGAATGAACTTGAACTTCTCATGGTAAAAGACATTAAGAAATCCAAAATTGTAAGAGGAGAAAGAAATTCGAATAAAAAGTAATCCAAGGATTTAGAGACTCAAAGCTCAAGAAAATAACAAAAGAACCAACATACAAGGTTGCAATAAACCTCACCAAATTTTGCTGCAAGATAGAGAGAGACAGTAGTTGAACCAGACCCCAAACGAATAAAAAAAAAGGATCAGGAAAAAAATTTCATACTCAGAGAATTAGATCATACCATTTATTATATTGATTGAAATCTTAGGGGGAAAAAATTATTGGCTAACATGTGAAATATGGGAGGGAGAAGAGCTACTTCTTGTTTAGTGCTGGTAGTGATAAAGAAATTGTCAAAGGTAGTAAGAAGATTTGGAAGAAGAAGAAAAAACAGAAGTAAAGGCATGAAGAAGAAGATGACGTGAGAGAAAATGTTAACGCTTTTAGGAAATTGGGGAAACATAAATGAAGAGAGATAAAATATTATAGTAAGTTAATTAAAATTAATTTAAACAAAAAGAATTAATTTGTTTAATCTTAACCATTCATTGTAGCCTAATCTAATGGTTAAGAAATTGTGTCAAAACTTGTGTCAAATTTGTGGTGCCACGGATCCGCCCCCTTTATATATATATAATACATGTATAAAAAAATTCAGGACCCTACAAAATCGGAAGTCGTGTATGGTGACACCACTTGCACTATGCCAGGGCGGCCCTGATATTGGCAATAGTTATTTCTTTGGACAAGTATTCATCGTCACTAAAAGAACCATTGTACCGATATCAAGGAACTTCTCCTTGGTTTGAGCCATGAAAAAAGAAAAGTTTTATTGGTTGGACTGTTCATTTTGAACTGTTTAAATGTTATCTAATTATATTTTTTATGTTTTCTCTTAGGATTCGCAGTAACATGTGCTAATACAGATAAATCATCCTATGCTTTTGTTATTGACATGTTATGGACTTGCTACAAGTTGTGACCTAATAATAATTTTATTGATTGACCTTTTTACACTATTGGTTCTTTATTGGCTAGTAAGAGTGTTGATCTGTATGCAAAAGTGATGGAAGAACTAGATCAAGTTGTGACAAGAATGGTATTTGAAAACTATGGCATAGAGAAGTACCAATGACGATCACACTTCCAATCTTCGATTTACAAAATATAAAGAACCCAAGAAAACTGGAAATTCAGTGGGTCTGGCCGGTCATACAGACAATACTATTACCACCATACTGCATCAAAATCATGTCAATGGTCTGTAGATAAACACAAAGGATAATGAGTGGATAGGTTTTGATACTTTGCCTTCATCCTGCCTGTTCCTAGCTGGTGATGGATTTCAGATATGTCACACTATTTCATTGATCTTGCTTTTTCATGGATATACATATACATGATACATACATATATATATATGTGTGTGTGTGTGTTCATCAGTACTATATAACCAATTCTTTTATAATAGTCGACAACAAACTCAGCTATCTCATGTTTACTTACATGGAATGGGTATTAGAATTATTCTCATTCCTGACTTCCCCTTTACTAATATATGAGTATGAGAAACGGTCAAATTCATGAATTCTCATGCATTTACTAACACATTAAAATTTGTAAGTCAATGCCTTAAAAACGAGGATTAAGTTTTAGGAGGGGAATACTTGATCTTGTACTCATTTCTAATCTCCCATGCTCATAACATTCCCCATTCCAAATAAGTAAATATGTCAATGAGGTTTTATATCTATAAACTCATATCGTTATGACCGGATGAGACAGAGTGAGTCAAATTAAGTTTTAGGAGTAAAGTGAAACATCAAGTGTAGTTAAAGGAGGGGAGTGAAACATGAGCCTAACTTAAACTTAAACTTTTGGTAGTTTGATACTTCAATCAATACATACTGGCAAGAATTTTTCAGTGATCAACTATCTATGCTGTATATTGCAAGATGAATAAAGATCTCAGATAGGATGTTTGCATTCTTTGGTTGGCCTAGGTTTCGAGCAATGGCAGAATAAGATCTTGTAAACATAGACTGACTTTGAGGGAAAATGAGGTCAGATACTCGTTGGGGCTATTTTCTTTCCAGGAAGGGGTGATACAAATACCCAACGAGCTTATCGACAAGGACCACCCAATCCAATATAAGCCAGTGCACTTGTTGGAA